CAGTTTCCAAAGCAATATAAAGAACTTCCTACACAGCTGCACTACAATTGAATAGAAGGGCTGGAATTTTCTTTGTTAGAGATTGCTGGACTGCCTGGCAAGAGTATATAAGATATAAGAATTGTGGTTTCAAATTAGATGTTCCTCAGGCACATTGTAACCCTGAAATTCCGTGCAAGGAAAAATCCCCCAAATCATCGGTTAGAACTTTTACCACATGGAATTTCTGAAAGTGAAAACAAGTTCTTTTAAATATATGATCTTACTTTATTTGGTTTGAATAATTCCAAATAAGCTTATTCCTTGCATTTGCCTTAAAATATGGAAGGTGGGAAAGAGTCAGAAGCTGTATGTTCAAAAATCTTATTGCCACATTTTATTAATTTTGAAACTCGCTTCTTTTACATGCCTGACATCTCTGACATCTGCAGGCAGTTGATGGCACCCTTCAATGATTGATGCTTTACATTTGCTGACATCCAGATTATTTTTTTACATGCACAGATTTGGTCCTAACTATTCTGAATGTTATTACTTCAGTGGAATTCCATTCAAATTTGGATTACCTTAGTTGTTTAATTGCCTTTTAATATACTATCTTCAGAAAGATTACACTGTAATTTGGTACTGAAACAGAGATGGAAATAACAAGGCATAAGCTTGATATTAATAAGGTTATTTATCTTTGGGGAAGTGATTACAATTCTATATTTTCTTGGAAAGAAACAACCTAAATGCATTATACCTGTGCAGTTCAAGGTAAGGTCCAGGGATCAGTGGCTTATTAGAAATGCAGAGTTGTAGGTCCTAGCCCACACCTACTAAATAAGAATCGGCATTTTAACAAGATTCCTGTTCAAGTTTAAGAAGCATTGCATTATACAACTTCATATAAGACGATAACCCATATGTAGAAGATGTGTTAAATTTTTCTTCTTGTGAGTTACTCAGTGTTAGAATGATTTTTATGCCTCAGCGCTGTTTGGCCTTGTCCACTATTTTAATATTATGTACAAATAACATTAGCATCCCATTAAATTCCCTCATTCAGATGCAGCATATGAAAAAAAATAATGTTAAGAACAAATCCAACACATTTATTTAGAGTACCCTACTATGTAATTTCCTCTGCCTGAATGGATATATTCCAACGTGCTATCTTTTTTTGTGCATTTCTAATTAAAAACACTCTAAATGGATACTTGGAGCACTTTACTTAACTCTTTTCATTATATTCCTTTTGTTAATTTTCCTCACCTTAAATATGTATGGTATCATTAATGCGTAATTGGTTGTGATTGTTAATGGTTTTGTGTCTGGTTATTTTCTTACTGTTTTATAAATTGCCAAGATTACTGATTGTCTTTTAAGGAAATAAATTCCTATAAAAGTCATATATATTAGATATGCTTTGGAAACCTTATATAACCTGTGTTGGACGGAGTTCTTAGTATGCAAACAGTAGAATTCACTGTCACTTATGCCAGGGGTCTATTAAATGGTGAGGCTATGTCACAGATTCTTGGTAACCAGATCATGGAACTGGGCACCCCACTGGAGCCTTTTCCTCTTCCTGTACATTCAGGGAACCACTGTTGCAGGTGTTGGCTCCAGGAACTATCTCTCTCTCACCCACTGTTAATACCCCCAGTGTTGCCTGACATGTAGTAGTAACTCATTGTATATTTATTAAATGATTTAATTATTTGCTTTGAAGCTCTTCATTTGAATACATGTCCCAGGTTTGGCTTATAGAAGTCCCTTCAAACTGGCCTTTATGACCATTTGACATCTCATCGTTTGTTGAACATTTCCTTGCTTCTTGACAAATAAGTATTCCAGGCTGATCTTGTACTTTCCTTGTCCTAGCCTCCAAATTAGCTCTTTTTTCAAAGAACTTTGGATTTTTTAGTGAAGATGGTATTTAGAAGCTACAATCTGTGTGGTAGGTGTGTTCGTTGATATTTGGGTGTTGTTTGTCCCTCTAGCCCTCTCAGTAATAGAGCTAAGGTGTGTATGTGTTAGTGTGTACATTAGCCCCCCCTTATATGCAAGGAATATGGTTCAAGATCCTCAGTAGATTCCTGAAACCACAGATAGTGCCAAACTCTATATATACTATGTTTCTTCCTATACACACCTTTTCATTTAACCGAAGTATTTTATGGCTTCTCTTTAGCATATCAGAATTGCCAGCATCACTACTCTGGTGCTTTGGGGCCATTATTAAGTAAAATAAGGGTTACTTGAACACAGCGATGTCGCTTTGATTACCTAGGTGGCCACTAAGTGATTAACAAGCAGGTAACTTATAGTGTATTAAAAAAAAAAAAAAAGAGTATTCATGCCAATAATTCATTCTGATGTAACTCCACGGGTTGCATTCTCTCATTTCATTTTGGTAACTTCTTTTTACAATAGTGAGAAAACCTGATTGTCACTATTCTTAATATATTTATTTATTGATCAATCCCCCTTTATGTAACCAGTCTTACATCACCACCAACTAGATACCTTTCCTTCATGGACACCCTCTTCACCTTGCTTGGGCTTTGATTCAGCATTGAGATATTTTAAAGCTCCCCAAATGCCCTGGCTGGTTTGGCTCAGTGATTAGAGAGTTGGCCCACAGTCCAGAGAGACCCAGGTTCGGTTTCCGCTAAGGGCACATAACTCGGCTGCAGTTTGTCTCCAACCCTGCTTGGGGTTGTGCTGGAGGTGGCCACTCGACGCATCCCTTTCACGTTGATGTTTCTCTCTCTCTTTCTCTCCTCCTCTCTCTCCCACTCTATCGGAACAAAAATGGAAAAATGGCCTCGGGTGAGGAATCAATCAATCAATCAATCTCCCCAAACAATGCTAATGTGCAGCCAAGATAAAGTACAACTGAATTAGAGGAAAGGTGAACCCCCATACTATGTGATCCATTATAAATGAATGGCACATTTTAAATTCAGGTTTGGTTTGGGAAAATAAATTCTTCCAAAGGAAGTGTAATTTAAAGAGAAGACTCAATTCTACCAATATACACAGTAAAAGATCAGGGTGAAAGCACAGCCTGTCTCCTGGAAAGCTTTGAAAAATATTTATTTTGGAAGTAAATCTGCTTGTAGTGAACATGAATTTCAATCCCTTTCCCTGAATTACCTGTTTATAGGAAAAAATATTTGAAAAGGTTAGTTGTTTTTTAAGAATGTATCTTATTAAGGACTTACTGCTTCTTTTACATTGCAGTTTTAAAATGAACTTTTAATTTTAGAATAGATTTAGGAAAAAATGCAACTTAATGCTTTTTAAAGCATTGAATATTTAAATAGATATTCATGCTGTGTTTGCTCTTTTTCTGTAGTCAGTTCCACTTTAAAATATGAAAACCAAGTTATCGTAACTAGGTCATGAAGAACCTCATCTTCTACTTGAATCTAGGGGAAGCAAGAGCCTCTAGGAGCCAAATATAACAGGATCTGTGGTCAACCTACCTTAGATGGTCAACATCCATCATGCCTATTTTCGTAAATTCATTTTCTTAATGCACAGCTGCAAGTGGATTTTCACGAAGAGCTCCACACTGAGACTGATATACACATAATCTGATTCCAGCTCTAAACCTAAGGAAATTTGAATAAAATCCCTTTCATAATTGTATTTTTAAAGTTTTCTGGAAGCTACTTTTAGAGTGTGAATTGTGCACATTAGGCTTTTGTATATTTATGCCCAGAGGGTACACAAGGAGAAAATGTGAATGTGGACAGAGCCACTGAAAACTTAACGTGTGTAAAACTCTTTTTTTGTTGTTTGTTTGTTTAGTTCTTGTTTTTGCTAAGTACAGCATTACTTGCCTGTTCATGAGAGCTCACCTCCATGTTGGTCTTCAGTTCCTTCCATATAGGTTAAGTGATTTCTATTCCCCGAAATGGAGTCCTTCAGGAGCCATCTTTGTGATTTTTTGCCATATCTGCAGACTTTTACATTAACGTGTGTCATTAATTTATCTGGCTTTTAGCCTTTTTATAGATAATATCTGTGAAACCATGGATTTGATGTGTTGATCCCCTAAAATCACAAGACTGTTCAATACTTGGGGACCTGAGAACTAGATCTCCAACTCTCCTTCAAATTCTGAAATTCAATAAGCATGGCATTTGGGGTCTTCTGACTTGAGCTTTAAAGTTACGCCAGTGGTTGCTTATGCATTTTTTCCCAATTGACACATAAAGTGAAAGTTAGTAGTTTTCTATATATATTATATTAGAATACATATTGGATTATATTCTGTTATATACTAGAATAAATATTAAATTTTAAAGTCACTTTTCAAATATGTATAAATTACATTATCTTAGTTTCTTAAGATTCATCACGTTTCTTCAACTAGCATGTTTAATAATTGTGTATCATTTTTATTTTGATTGAAGAGAACAAAACCTGATTGTTCTGATTCAGGTGTGCCAGGAAGATGCAACAGTGAATTCACCCAATAAAAAAGACCTGATATATAGGACACTTAGTACCTGCCTTAAAAACACAAGATAATAGAACATAGAGTATGATGTTAATCACTCTGAAAATGTTATGGGAAACATCTAAATTGTGATAAATACCTCTGTACCATAATTGAATTAATATGTTCTGTGTTATTTGTGAAGAATACTGCCAGAAGCCACCTGGATATTGTCACATACTCACATCAGGTTCTTTGATGAATTAAAATACACTAATCGTGTGTGTGTGCACGCGCGCGCACTTTTCGGAAGATCTCATAAAAAATCACTTTAATGAACTTCTTTGAAACCAGACTTAATGTCATGTTTTGCAAAAGGAGTGACAAACCAAAATTGGGGATAACTAAATGTGGTGAGTTTTTGCATCCTCTTAGTGTAAGTAAACTACAGTCTTCTGCTTAGTCACTGAGATGAAATGTTTCCTTGCACAGCACCTACAGCGTTTGATTTGCTATAAATACAGATATTTAACCTTCTGGTATGACATTACTTTAACAGAGAGAAGGAGCAAGAAAGGGAAGAACAGTTAATGGAAGACAAGAAAAGGAAGAAAGAGGATAAAAAGAAAAAAGAAGCCACTCAGAAGGTGGGTTTAATCAATTAAATCTAATAAATATGCTGCAGCTGATTTTATGAAAACAATAGTAAACAATATTGAGAAAGATCAGACACTTGAACTCTTGTCATGTTTTCTTATTTGTATCGTAATCTCCATTTTCTTAAGCAAGCTTAAAGAATAACTTCAGTTAGCGCAGTTTGCTCTGCTGTTTTCCTTTTGGTCCACCTCCAGCACTGTCATTATATGAGCCTACCTTTTGATAAGTTCATAAAGAAATCTTCTTTGTAGAGGATCTAGTGGGCCTGCCTAGTGTTTGGAGGAACAGAACATTGCATGGCTTTGAGGGATTTGCCTAGGGGGAAAAGAGGCTAAAAGCAAAAAGAGCAGAGAGCTATCAACGGTGGGGTCTTAGTTAAAGTGTTTGTCTGGCGGGGCTGTCAGAGATAGTTAGCACCCTTTGCCCTGTTCCTTTTTTTAGCAGAGCATGTCCCTCTGCCCTAAACACTGTCTGAACTCATTTTCCTCACCTTGCCACGCCTTTAAGCATCTCCTGACTTGGGCTTTGGCTTGGCAGGGTTGCTTTGATCCCTTTTTTTTTTTTTTTATCCTCACCCGAGAACATTTTTCCATTTTTTGTTCAGATAGAATGGGAAGGGAGAGAGAGAGAGAGAAACATTGACATGAAAGGGACACATCGACTGGCTGCCACCCACACGACCAACCAGGGCTGGAGACAAACTGCAACCGAGGTACGTGCCCTTAGCGGGAACCGAACCCGGGTCTCTCTGGACCGCAGGCCGATGTTCTACCGCTGAGCCAAACTGGCCAGGGCGTTGATCCCTTTTTTGGAGGCAAAATTATTTTCCTCCAGTTCTTGTTGCTACTATCTGAAGCACTTGAGAAGCAGGACCTCACTGTGAGAGGCAGGTTTAAGGGTCCCTACAGTGGTCCCAGGTTATTGAAAATAAGTCTAGGGAGGTGGAAACTGTTAAAAGGTTCAGAGGGAACTCTAGATTTAGAAGAGATTTGAGGCAGACGCAGCCAATACAAGGTAAAAGGGACACTGCAGGTTTTCCCAGCATTGCTGGATATAGTGTTTCCCATGATTCAGTTTTCTGAATTATTGAAATTAGATCACTTTCAGTGCCAGCATTAAAAACAATACGGGATGCCCTGGCCGGTTTGGCTCAGCGGTTAGAGCGTCGGCCTGCGGTCCAGAGAGACCCGGGCTCGGTTCCCGTTAAGGGCACGTACTTCGGTTGCAGTTTGTCCCCGGCCCTGGTTGGTCGTGCAGGTGGCAGCCACTCGATGTGTCCCTTTCACGTCAATGTTTCTCTCACTCTCTCTCTCTTCCTCTCTCTCCCTCCCACTCTATCTGTACAAAAAATGGAAAAATATCCTCGGGTGAGGATAAAAAATAAATAAATAGATAAAATAAAAATAAAAACAATATGGGAAATATTTTCTGAATTGGATTGCCTATGATCTTGCCACATTAAACCTATGAAATATAATTTATCTTTTCTTCATGACTTAATTAAAAGGAATATTCATTATTGTTTGGTGCTGTAATAGATTGCTGTGCTCTTTAAAATTTTATCTTCTTTTAATTGTTTCTGTTTCTACTAATAGTGGTGTAGTCACCATCCCATCATGCTATCAGGGTACCGTACCTGCTTCTAATGTGTTCCTTCTAACCTAAAGTTGTTAGATAATGACCCAGATACTTTTTTTATACTTTCTTTTGGGTACACAGCCACATTCCATGTCACTGAGGTTGTAAATAAGCGGGTCTGCCAGCCATACAGTGTTATGGCCATTGCCTCTGTACCCTGCATATGCTGACCCTCCAACTGGAGTGATGGGAGAATAAACCCCAATGAAGGCTTTCTTTCCTTTAGGGCATTCACATTTCATTCACTAAGCTGGTGCAAAAATTGTATTTTGCAGTCCATGGGAATGAATGGTTAATAGGCTGGACACTGGGGAACTTGAGCAAAGGCTGGGAACAAGAAGATGCCAAATAGAACAGTTGACTAGAGTATGTGCAGTCCATTCTCATTCTTCACGTAGACAACAGTGTTCTCATAACCTGAAAATGTTAGTATCTAGAAATGGTTAATACAATATGTGTCTGTAAACTTTCATTGTGGATCTCCTACTAATAGAAAAATTACTAAGATTAAAGATGGTATGGGTTTATTCGTGAGTAGTAGTTCAGTTAGTTAGAGCATCGTCGCAATACGTCAGCGTTTTGGGTTCCATCTCCAGCACATACAAGAATCAACCAATGAATGCATCAATAAGTGGAACAAAAAATCATATTTCTCTCTCTCCCTCCCTCTCTCATTTCCTCTCTCTAAAATCAAAGAAAATTTATTGATTTGAGAGAGAGAGAGAGAGGAAGGGAGAGGGAGAGAGAGATAGAAACATCGATGAGCGAGAACGGCTGCCTCCTGCATGCCCCCTGACTGGGGATCGGGGCCACAGCCTGGGCATGTGCCCTGACCAGGAATCAAACTGGCAACCTCTTGGTGCATGGGTTGACACTCAACCACTGAGCCACACCGGCCAGGCTAAAATCAATAAATTTTTTAAAATTTTTATAAGAGCGAATTGGGATTATTTATGCAGAGAATGTAATTTATTCAGCTGGACAATCTCTGTGTTCTTGCCTCTTCATCAAGAATTGGTTAAGAAGTTTTAGTGAAAAGGAAAATCACCATAAATAAAATTTCAAATGGATAATTATGAGCAATAAAAATTCAGTCATTTTATTTAAAAATATTCTAGATTGGCTGACAAAGGATCTAGGCCAACAGATAGGCTTTGGTATTGTTTTAACATTCCATTAACATTCACTGAACCACTGTGAAATTTCAGAATGAAATTGTGATTTAGCAGTTTTAAGGAGAGAACACAAAGCTTACCATGTGATTATTTTAATAGTTTTCAACTTTATTATAGAGATGACAGACATCTCAGCTAGGAGGCATAAAATGTGCTATGATGCAAAGAATTGTATAGAACATGCCGGAGGTTCTATTATGCAGTCAGTCAGTCAGTCAGTCAGTCAGTCAGCAAATATCTGTGGTGCTTCTTAGTCCTTCCACATCTTTCTGGCTGCCAAGCCCATTGCTTTATAATCATCTCTTTGCTTCTGTCTTCCCCATTAGACAGACTATATATACATTTGTCAAGATTTTATTCATATTTTCATTTCCATTAACTAAGATAGTGAGTGCCTGATGCCTAAGAGTCACTCAACAACAAAAATGTTTAATATGTGAATGGTCAAGAAAGAGTGATGGCAACATAATTGTCTTGAAGAATTGACTTATTTAAACCTAAATTAAATTATTTCCACACAAATTAGACACGACCTTTTACCATTATGTTCAATGATTATGGCATTTTGTTCTTTCTAGAGCCATCACTGAGTAAACTGTTAGATTTCCATTCATGAGAGGTGTCAAAGAATGATTCCATTAACATTCATTAGGCTGATGCTGCTAAAGGATCATTGTTTAGTGTTGGCAGACATGTGCTTTGATCACCCAGCTTTTCACCGTCTATAGGACAGCTCTTTCAACAGAATCCACATTATAAGACACATTTACATTATTTTTGTTTGTCACTTACAATTGGGGAAGACATTGGTTTTCTGTATAACTGATCTTCATAATGGCATTCTAAGAAATATTTACAATGATAAAACTTAAATTGCCTTAAGGAATTGGTATATGGATACAAATCTGTTTGTTCTTGGACAAGTGGCGTTATACAAAAAGCATACAGTTGAATTGAGCTCTACTGTAACTATTAGTACTGGGAAACACCATCTACCAGAAGTACAGTAGAATTAGTGCAAGAATGTAAAACACACTCCAGGAGATCACACAAGAGGATTGTTTAATTCATATTCAACGTCTGACATTGGTGTGCTGAAATCTATTGTGAAATGGGCTAGTTAGCTACAGGACATAACCCTCCAAAGAAGAGCATGTCTTTATGAACACCCATAGCAGTAACTTATGATTACTAGTCACAAATAATCACACTTCTCGTCTGTATGAATATTTTAATTATAAAAGTCAGAAAAATTACATAAAAATGCTTTGGAAGATTGACAGTTGGGGAAAGGGTTCAAAATTGCCTATCATCTCAATAATGTAATAGAACCTCTAGTGGAATTCAGAGTGCTACTCTCTCTCTTTCTGTTGTGCGCGCGCGCGCGCGCGTTTTTTTTTTTTTGGATATTTTCTGGTGCGTGCCCTTTTGTGGTTTTGCTTTAATATTATAGGGCATGTATAATTAGGTACCCTCCTTTTTTTCCCCCCCTCTTATTAGCAGAAACAGTTTTCCATGTGTCTCCTAACCATCATTTCCAAACTCTAAAAACCCTTTATTATATTCATCCTGTCCAATCTTTTAGGTTAATCACTTCCAAAGATATATTAGTTACTATATGAAAACATACTTTTAACAATCCTTATTTGTTCAAAATTTACATATTTCACTCTCATTGTATTTCATGCTATTTTATATAAACTTTGATAAAAATGACAAACACTTATTAAACATTGGCAAGGATATGTGTTTAATCTTTACAACAACCCTTTGCAGGGAGCTGCTTTTATTATCTGCAGTCAACAGATAAATAGAAAACTCAGATAGCTCAGCCAGAAAGTAGCACAGGTTGGTTCTGAATCCTGTTCTCCTACTATGACTTCTTCTGATACCTCTGATGATGGGCCTCTGAACCTTAGCTTTCTAGATTTGACAAGTGTTCGAGTCCATACTCACAGGGGAATCTTTTTGTCCCTGTGGCTAATTTAGTTTCTGGGCCACATCCATTTGTAACAATCAAAATGGCAAACAGCATTCCTGGTACAAAGACCATGGATCATTTAATGAGAGCAGAATGCTTTTTGTTTTAACTTTTAATATCCTTCATAATGATGGGTCATGTAAGTTATGATGGCCATTGTCTTTAGAAGGATGTCTGAACTGACTCCCAGCTTCTTTTTCTGGATTTTAACTATGCCTGTGTATCTGCTACCTGGAATTAAAAGTAGTCTTACAATACTGAATTAGAACGCAAATCTCATTTACTTATATCTGTTCATTTTTTTTGCAGGTCACGGAACAAAAAACCAAAGGTAAATTGTCTTTTTTTTTATAAGTCATTAGAACCTTTTGTGTTTAGATTTTACACCCTTGCTGACTCAGCCTCCAGTTCACTTAGTAAGTGAGAGTGGGTGTAGAGTAATTAAGGTTAGTTGTTTGCAGTCACTGAAGAGCAGTAATGACAAAAAGTACTTATGGATTTGTAATGGCCTTTGTATTTCCTTAATTTTTTTTTTTTTCATCCTCACCTGAGGACATTTTTGCATTAATCTTCAGGTAGAGTGAAAGGGAGAGAGGGAGGAAGAGAGAGAGAGAAACATCAATGTGAGAGAGACACATCGACTGGCGACCACCCACACAACCCCAACCAGGTCCGGGGACAAACTGCAACTGAGGTACGTGCCGTTAGCGGGAACCAAACCCAAGTCTCTCTGGACCATGGACCAACACTCTAACCTCTGAACTAAACCGGCCAGGGCCTGCCTTAAATTTCTTTAGAAAACAAAATGTTTAGAAAAAGTGATACCTGTTTTGAAAGTATATGGGTCATGACTTGGAACTGAACCTTTTCAAAACTTTTCTTTTATCATCTTTTTTTTTTTAAGTGAAAATTCTGGAGAAAACAGGTCAGGGATTTCTACTAAAAGTTATATGAAGGCATGGACTAGAGTTGGTCCTGCTGCCCAGATAACAAATAATAAAAAGTACTTCAGGTAGAAGCTAATATCCTCCTTTGTTGGATATTAGTATTGAGTTTCTGGGATTGAGCAGTAGATCAGATTTAATAGGAGTGATGGGTAAGATTAGAATGAAAAAGACTGTGTAATAGAGGGATTTAAACATAGCAGTTTAGCCTTGTTAAAAAGCTGTTCATTCAGCTTTTTCTTAATGGGAGTTATCTGTGAAATGATTGATTTATAAAAACTAACCTGACCTTAACTGCATTAGTAAAAGTACAATATCTAGAAAGGGATGTGCAGTTCCTATAATGTCCACCACATAATAGAAAGAACAGAGATAAACCTCTGAGGACCATGTGGCATTTGGGCCAGATCGGTTAAGAAATGTGAGCCTGTGTCACCTCTAGGAAGGTTAAACACCTGGGGATAGGTAGCCCATGGGGAAGAATAAGTGGCTGTCTTTAAAGATTTGAAGGGCTCTGGTGCCTTGGTAAATGTCTGTGGGTTGTTTTGTTCATTGAGACCTATTCTCATCCCAAAAGTACCAATGGTAAATGAAAGCAACACAGAAAAGCCTCCAGCACAATATAAATTAAACACATTTAGGTATTTTTGTCCAAAGCAGTAATTCATAACTTTTACACAGCTTTTCATCAGCACACCTGGGATGATAGACCATTGCAGTGCATTAGCTACAACTCTGTTTTTTGAGTCTGTTCTAGAAGGCATGTTACAGTGAATGAATGTTGGTGGTTAGAATAATTTTGAATTTACTCTAATTTATTAATACTCAAGGTGGGTACTCCCCCCCCCACACTCCAAGTGAATCATTTATAGAACTAAATCACTTGCAGTATACCTCACATCTTCAAGAAATACCAGTGTGTTCTAACACGGGTGGGAGCCATTTCTTCAGAGGTGGAACTGGCTCTTTCTAGAGAGTGAATGAAAGTGAGGTATTATAAGACATGTGGCTCATGTAGGTGGCCCAGATGAGAGGTAATGAGGATTTGAACCTGACTAGGAGCAGTGGTGATAGAAAGGAAGAAAGGAATTAGTGAGATGCTTTGGTTCAGTAGAATTTAATGTTGATTAGATAATGGTGCGTGGAGGAAAGGGCAAAGGCTAAGACACCTTCTAGGTTTCTGACTTGAGCAGCTGGTTAGATGATGACTCCATTCCTTGAACCAGGAGATAATGGGAGGGAGGAGCAAGGGAACAAATTTGCAGGTAAGGGGAAGGATAGAAGAGTTCTGAATTGGAGATAGTGATTTGGGAAATATTTTTACATAGTGATAGTTAAAGCCTAAGCTTGGGAGAGTTTATTTTCAACTAATTTAAATATGGGAAGGGTGCAGGCCCCATCTTCACATTCAGATTTTTTTAAAAGGTCCAGTTAATGACCAAATTCAGCTGCCATCTTGCATATCTTATTAAGGGGATAGTCAAAAGCAAGAGTTGCCAGCTGTGACACTTGAGCCAAATCTGACTCACTGCCTGTTTATGTACTGCCCGTGAACTAAGAATGTTTTATACATTTTTAAATAGTTGGGAAAGAAAGAAAAGAAGAACAATTTTACAACAATGAAAATGATATGAAATTTGTGTTTCAGTGTCATAAAGTTTTATTGGAACACAGCCACACTCATTCATTTATACATTGTCTGTGATTACTTTTGCCCTATAAGTACAGAGATGAGATGTCAGGACAAAGATCATATGGTTAGCAAAGCCTACAATATTTACTGTTTGGCCCTTTACAGAAGAAATTTACTGACCCCTAATCAAGAGTATGAGAAACAGCCCTGGCCAGTGTGGCTAAGTTGGTTGGGGATCGTCCTGTGCACTGAAAGGTTGCTGGTTCGAGTTCCAGTCAGGGTACATGCCCAGGTTGTAGGCTAGATCCCCAGTAGGAGATGAACAGGAGGCAGCTGATCAGTGTTCGGCTCTCACTTTGATATTTCTTTTTCCTTCTCCCTTCCTCTCTCTCTAAAGCGCATTTAAAAAAAAAAAAATTTTTTTTTAAGTAGGCCCTGACCACTTTGGCTCAGTGATTAGAGCGTCGGCCTGCGGACCAAAGAGTTGGGGGTTCGATTCTGGTCAAGGGCATATACCTCAGTTGCGGTTCAGTCCCCAGCCCTGGTCGGGTTCATGCGGGAGGCAACTAGTTGATGTGTCTTTCTCATGTCGATATTTCTCTCTCTCTGCTCTCCCCCCCCCCCCTCTGTCTGAAGGTAAATGGGAAAATGTCCTCGGGTGAGGATTTTTTTTTTTTAAAGGGTATTAGAAACCCACCAAGGGAGAGAGAAAAACTAAAGAGCTAGCTGGAGTGGGCCTCACAAAAACAGAGAGGGAGGGAATGGCGAGTAGGTCAAGCTGAAGAAAAGTTGAAGAAAAGGTCCAAGTGCCCATTAGACTGGCAATGAAGATCACTGTGGTTTAATGAGGAGAGAAATTCCTAGGGAGATGTTAGGGCAAAAGCCAGTGTACATCAAGTTTGAGGAGTGAGTGGAAGGTAAAGAAATGAAGACAGTGCTTAGAAGTTACTGACAATTGTTCAGTGTGTGTGGGCCACTCACTGTCATTAATCTTTGAAATTTTTTGTACTACGTTCATTGTAACTGATTATTCTTCACAAGAAATTCTCAGTCTCTTCTAGGGCTTGTTTGTATTTAACTACTTACTACCTTTATACATTTTCTAGATTTTTTTTTTAGGTATTTAGAGAAAATAGTAGTTTGTACTGGTTTTGCCTGTTTCAGAATTTTCTTAATATTTTTATCTGAAAAAGTGGTATCTTATTGAAGTTTTTCTGAAATAGAGGCAATTAGAAATTCGAACTATGAGATGAGAATGGTATAAGATAATTAAGACAACAGGGAAGGTAAAAAGATTCCATCCTTAGACTAAATAAATGGTTTTGGGAAGTAAATGAATGATTTATGATCCACCCTATCTCTGATGTAATAGTGGGAAAATGCCCTGAGGAGCTTTAGCAGAGAATCTCGCACAATGCATGATACCCACCAGGTTTCTTTGGTTGTGCTGTGAGTATTGTAGAGTTAGTCAAACTGGTGTTCAGGCCTCAGTCTAGGAGGCTGGCCTTACTGGGTTTCATTCTATCTTAGGGAAATGAGTCCAGGCATGTAGCAGACGTCACTAAAGGTCTAAAGTGAAGACTGTATACCTTTTATAGCAAAACTGCCTCACAGGAACATAGCTCCTCCACCCTAAAAACCACTTAGGAAGAATCCTTTCCAGCCTTTGCCAGTTTCTTGAATATTCTTATGATGAGGAAAGGGGATTGAGAATGCCATGTGGTATTGAATCTTCCAGGCACAGGTAGAAAATGGGTCATTAAATAATTCATCTTCATTCATCAATTGATCAGTCATTTATCCATTGGCTATTATAGCTCATGCAGAGGGTGCTGTGTTAAAAATTTTTGACAATGACCAATTTATTAAGTCATATGTTTATTCTGCTTGTCAGATTAAGTAGGTCAGATTATGACCTACTTTCCTTACTGGGAGGCCCAGTACAGCCTCCTGATGGGCTAAGGTTAAACCCAAGGGTTGCCTTGGTGTTATTTCGGGCATCTACTCGTTTTCACTGTTACTCAGAGTATACACCAGTGTCTAGTGAGTATAGATTTGGGCTTCCTGATTTCTGATGATATATCTCTGTCTTCACAAAGGAGCCAGTCCAACAAGCAACATGCTGGTCCAGCATCGTTTCAGGAGTCAGAATGGTACTGCCACCAGAGCTGGCCCTAACATTACTCTGAATGTGAGGGATTTGGGCCTTGGAATCCTCTGAATTATCAGGCTCAGTGATTGTTTATATATTACTGCCAGTCTCTATTTTCCAGGTAAATTTTTTTTGGAAAGGGTGGCAGTCTTTTGGTAGGATGAAGCAAGGAAGGTACAGATCCAGAACAGCCTCTGTAGGTTTGAGCCAGAGGGTTCTGTAGAGTATAGCTTAATAGTCATCCAGCACATCCATCCACTTTCGCCATTTTTAAAAGTAAATGAAAACATTAAATTATTAAAGTCAATAGGAAAAGTATCTACATTTTGAAATTTTTATTTTAAATAAAGTTGGGGAGGCACAAGATATACTTAAAATGGGATGGTGGGGCAAAAGCAAAAAGATTTATAATGTTTATAATATTTATACACAGTGCCAAGCAAGAGTCTTTGAGTTCAAGTGTCTGTAGTAACCAACAAGTTGATTTTATGATTCTCTAGGTAGAGATTCCCTGTGGCAGGCCTTATGAAAAAAGGATGAAAGATATATCTTAGGCTTTGTGGGACTTATGGCCTGGTGAGGGAGAGGGGCCTATCAAGGGAGAATTTCAATATAATATGGTAAATTCAGTGGTGAAGAGAGATGGATGGTGTGTTCCAGGAGCACAAGTGAAGGGTGCTTAGCCTGCTTAGTCCAGGGACTTTGAGATAAGTTTCTCACAGGTGGATCTTGAAGAATGTGGGTGACGGGAAAGAGCCCTTAGGCTGAGAACCTTAAATATTTGCCTGGGAACCATCTGTACCCTCAGACCTGCTGGGCAGCCCTTCAGGGAATTCCACTATTGATTTAGGAGAGTGAATACAGACTGCTTCCCTCTACCCCTTAGTCAATGGAATGGAATTCCTTGATATTGGTGTCTTTGAATCCTTATCACCATCACTACTCCCTACCCTAAACTAAAGATAGTGGCAATTTGGAAAGACCATGTTCATCAGGAATAGGATGAAAGAAGGGTTGTCTTGTTGCAATTGGTCCCATGTAAGCATTTTTTTTTAATCCTCACCCGAGGACATTTTTCCATTTTTTGTTCAGATAGAATGGGAGGGAAAGAGAGGAATTGAGAGAGAGAGAAACATCAACATGAAAGGGACACATCTAGTGGTTGCCACCCGCACAACCCAACCAGGGCCGGGTACAAACTGCAACCAAGGTACGTGCCCTTATCGGGAACCGAACCCAGATCTCTGGACCACAGGCCAACGCTCTAACCACTGAGCAAAACCGGCCAGGGCCCCATGTAAGCATTTTTTTATTTTTTTATTTTTATTTATTTTATTTTTTTTTATCCTCACCCGAGGATATTTTTCCATTTTTTGTACAGATAGAGTGGGAGGGAGAGGGAGGAAGGAGAGAGAGAGAGAAACATCGACGTGAAGGGACACATCGAGTGGCTGCTACCCGCACGACCAACCAGGGCCCGGGACAAACTGCAACCGAAGTACGTGCCCTTAGCGGGAATCGAACCCGGGTCTCTCCGGACCGCAGGCCGATGCTCTAACCACTGAGCCAAACCGGCCAGGGCTGTAAGCATTTTTTAAAATAATCTTTAGGAAAATGTATTTGATTTCAAAGGTTGTTTCCCAATCTCTCTCTTTCAGTGCCCGAAGTGACGAAACCAAGTTTAAGCCAACCAACGGCCGCCAGCCCAATTGGCAGCTCTCCATCGCCACCAGTCAATGGTGGCAACAATGCCAAAAGGGTGGCAGTGCCGAACGGACAACCGCCAAGCGCCGCCCGCTACATGCCTCGGGAGGTGCCGCCGCGATTCCGTTGCCAGCAGGACCACAAAGTGTTACTAAAACGTGGGCAGCCCCCTCCACCATCCTGCATGCTCCTTGGGGGTGGGGCAGGGCCTCCTCCCTCCACAGCACCTGGAGCAAACCCAAACAACGCACAAGTGACAGGAACGCTGCTGCAGAGTGAGAGTGGGACTGCAACAGGTGAGGAATTGGTGTTGGTGACTTGAATTCATAGCAGCTTTAGAGAGGAAGAGCACCTTTTTTATATTGCCTGGTGTAAAGTCCACAAAAAACATTAATTATATAAACTATTGGAGTTATTCAAAAGATGGGAGAGGAACCCAGTATGAAATGTATATCAGCATTTCTCTTCTGAAACTGGGTTTTAGTGTCCAGTGAGTGTGTGCTCTTGGTGTGAGATGTTAACATAGCTGCTGTTTGTCATCACTGTTTGGAGCTTTTTTTCCCCTTCTCAAACAAGAGCATTATAAATTCAAGCCTTCATAGTTCCAGTTGTCACCACAAGTGTATGCTCCAAGTATGATTGGAAGTGGTGCTAGTACAAGGGCGTGTTCTAAAACTTAGATGCTCAATTTTTTTTTTATTAATTAATTTTTGTTACAGATATTTCTCCTTTTTCCCCCACTGATTTCTCCCTCCCTCTCTCCCTGCCCTGTCCCCAGCTTTGTTGTCCATGTCCATTGTTCATGCATACATGCATATAAGTTCTGTGGTTTATCTCTCCCCCACCACCCCTTCTTCTGGGGATTTTCAGTCTGTACACCACTTCCACGTCTCTGGGACTACCCCATTCCTCAGACTGTTATGTTTATTATATTCCACAAGTAAGTGAGATCATATGATACTTTCCAGGTACCTCCATGTAGTCTCAAAGGATAAGAGATCTTTCTTTCTTACAGCTGCGTAGTAGAGGTGCTCATTTTTATGTTCCCAAAATGTTAGGCAGGTAGACAGAATGGTTTCTTAGATTACTCACTAGAATCTTGGGAGGATAACAAATAATATTATTCTATAGTCTTTTATTAGATTATTTTAAAGCAGTATTTCTTTAGGGGGCCCTTGATTTTGAGCATTATTAAAAACTATATAGATACAAGGATCCTTAGCTAAATGGTTCCACTAGAAGTTTTGAGATTTTTTTTCAATTTGTGAATACTAAATCAGTCAATAGCTAAGAATTTCCAAATATTTTTTTTAGCTCATTAACAGATTTCAAGTTATCTCTTAAAATGTTTTGTTTTTGAGCACCATTAAGCGTTGGCAAAGACAATGAATTGTGGTTGTTAACAATAGGATGCTTTATTCTAGTCTAAGTTTGAACATAGAATTGCTTGGAAAATTCTCTCACTGTCTCATGTGCAGAGTAAGGGTGGAAAGAAACCTGATATGACATAGGCTTCATGCAGAGATAAGCCCTATGCATGAGGCTTCCCTGTGGTGACCATCAGGCCAGGCCCAAAGCCAGCAGGGAAGGCCTCCTGGCCCTTCCTTTCTGGCCTCTTGTAACCAGATACAAAAGGAAGTCTGTGAGGAGCGGTTGTGTCGGGCATCTCTGCAGCCTAGTCTAGCCAGGCCTGAATATAGGCATAGGTCCAGAGTGAGCTAGAATCTCCTGTTTACATTTTTAAAACCAAGGAGACCCCTAAATGTCAAGAGTTTGAGATTCTGTGCTTCCTTACTTTTATATGGCTTTATGTAATGTTTTTTTCAACTTCATGTTGATTTTAAGCTGTGCTTGGTTAAAGGAGCTAAATAAGTTTAGAACAAATTATTGGGTTTAAAACATGTCATTTTCCCCCCACCAGATATGGTAGGTAAATTCCACTAAAATATGTGCTGAGCCAGACTAATTCATCATTAAGTTCCTTGGGCATACAAACTGATTCATGCTTATCTGCCCCTGGCATCCAGCTGGGTTGGGCATTCATTATTCAGACAGTGCTCACTGAGCAGTGATGTGCAGGACACTGTGGAATTCAAACGCTAGCAAGATAGGGTCTCTGCCTAAAAAGTGCTAACATGGGAGAGGGAAGACGAACACAGTATTCTAGCACTGAGCAAAATGGCTTCGTTTAAAAATGGCACTTGAAGTAGGCCCAGAAAAAAGAGCAAATTTCAATGTATGAATTCAGAAGGAATAGAACAAACAGTAAGTGCTGATGTGTAATGTTGTCTGGGTGAGAAAGTGCAAGTTATGGAATGTCAAGTAGTATGAAATGTAGACCTCTACATAGAAAATTGGAAGATGAGACTAGAAAAGTCACTTGGTCCCGGGTTATGGAGTATCTTGATCAAACTCCAGACCAAAAAGTTTAGCTTTATTCTTGTGCACTAAGGAACTATTGAAGGTATTTCATATAGCAGGAATATATTCAAAGATGTGCTTTAGAAAAATCCTTCCAGCCAGGCATGTTTAGGGTAGATTGGAGATACAGGGCAAGCAGAGTGTTACTGCATTGTATCGATATAAGAAGGCCCTTCTCTGTCCGTAGGAATAGCAAAGGGATAGATTTGAAAGATGTTGCAGAGTTAGACTTAGCAAGTACACCAACCAGGTAAGATTAAAGAGAAGAAATGACTAAAACAGGAGTAGTACAGTTCACCAAGATGGGCAACTGGGTGGAGAAGCTAGTTTGTGGGGAAATGTGATGAATTCTCTTGGGCAGTTTGAGCTTGAACTGTTAATAGAGTGTGCATATGTGTCTATGATTGATAAGACACTCTCTTTCCCAGAGTCAACCCTTGGAGGTGCTGCTGCTTCAAATTATGCAAATTCCACTTGGGGCCCGGGAGCCTCCTCCAACAACGGCACCTCCCCCAACCCAATTCACATCTGGGACAAGGTGATTGTAGACGGGTCTAACATGGAAGAGTGGCCTCGTATTGCCAGCAAAGACACTGAGTCTTCTTCCGAAAACACCACCGATAACAACAGTGCCTCGAACCCTGGCTCTGAGAAGAGCACTCTGCCAGGAAGCACCACTAGTAATAAAGGAAAAGGGAGCCAGTGCCAGTCTGCAAGTTCTGGGAACGAATGTAATCTTGGGGTCTGGAAATCTGACCCTAAGGCTAAATCTGTTCAATCTTCCAACTCTGCTACAGAGAGCAACAATGGACTAGGAAATTGGAGGAATGTGAGTGGTCAGGATAGAATTGGACCTGGCTCTGGCTTCAGCAACTTTAACCCAAATAGCAACCCATCTGCCTGGCCAGCACTGGTCCAAGAAGGAAATTCTAGGAAAGGGGCATTGGAAACAGATACTAGTAATTCCAGTGCACAGGTTAGCACAGTAGGTCAGGCATCCAGGGAACAGCAGTCAAAGATGGAAAATGCGGGTGTTAATTTTGTTGTCTCTGGCAGAGAACAGGCTCAAATTCATAACACTGATGGACCAAAAAATGGAAACACTAACTCCTTGAACTTAAGTTCACCAAACCCCATGGAGAATAAGGGAATGCCCTTTGGTATGGGCTTGGGGAACGCCTCCAGGAGCACTGATGCCCCTTCACAAAGCACTGGAGATCGAAAGACTGGGAGTGTTGGATCTTGGGGTGCAGCTAGGGGGCCTTCTGGAACTGACACAGCCTCTGGACAAAGCAATTCTGGAAACAATGGGAACAATGGAAAGGATAGAGAGGACTCCTGGAAAGGAGCTTCTGCTCAGAAGTCAACTGGGTCAAAAAATGACTCTTGGGACAATAACAGGTCTACGGGTGGGTCCTGGAACTTTGGCCCTCAGGACTCTAATGACAACAAATGGGGTGAAGGGAACAAAATAACATCTGGGGTCTCTCAGGGAGAATGGAAACAGCCGACTGGGTCTGATGAGTTGAAAATTGGAGAATGGAGTGGTCCAAACCAACCAAATTCTAGCACTGGAGCATGGGACAATCAAAAGGGCCACCCCCTCCCTGAAAACCAAGGCAATGCCCAGGCTCCCTGTTGGGGAAGATCTTCCAGCTCCACAGGAAGTGAAGTTGGAGGTCAAAGCACTGGAAGCAACCACAAAGCAGGAAGTAGTGACAGTCATAATTCTGGCCGTCGGTCATATAGGCCCACACATCCTGATTGTCAGGCTGTCTTGCAGACTCTTTTGAGCCGAACTGATTTGGACCCCAGGGTGCTCTCAAACACTGGCTGGGGCCAAACTCAAATTAAGCAGGACACAGTGTGGGATATTGAAGAGGTGCCACGGCCTGAGGGAAAATCGGACAAAGGAACTGAGGGGTGGGAGAGCGCTGCCACACAGACCAAGAACTCAGGGGGCTGGGGAGATGCACCCAGCCAAAGCAATCAAATGAAGTCTGGATGGGGAGAGCTCTCAGCCTCTACGGAGTGGAAAGACCCCAAGAACACAGGAGGCTGGAATGACTATAAGAACAACAACTCTTCCAATTGGGGAGGAGGACGACCAGATGAAAAGACATCTTCCTCTTGGAATGAGAATCCCAGCAAGGATCAGGGGTGGGGAGGTGTACGCCAGCCCAATCAAGGATGGGCTTCTGGAAAGAATGGTTGGGGAGAGGAAGTTGATCAAGCAAAAAATAGCAATTGGGAAAGTTCTGCAAGTAAACCTGGGTCTGGGTGGGGCGAAGGAGGGCAGAATGAAATTGGAACTTGGGGGAATGGTGGGAATGCCAGCCTAGTTTCCAAAGGTGGCTGGGAAGATTGCAAAAGATCTCCAGCCTGGACTGAGACAGGCAGACAGCCCAATTCCTGGAATAAACAGCACCAACAGCAGCAGCAGTCACAGCAGCCACCGCCACCACAACCTGAGGCTTCTGGTTCATGGGGAGGCCCACCCCCACCACCTCCAGGCAATGGACGACCTTCCAATTCCAACTGGAGCAGCGGGCCACAGCCAGTAACCCCTAAGGATGAGGAACCCAGTGGTTGGGAAGAACCATCCCCACAGTCAATTAGTCGGAAAATGGACATTGATGATGGCACTTCAGCGTGGGGAGACCCCAACAGTTATAACTACAAGAATGTGAATCTGTGGGACAAGAATTCCCAAGGCGGCCCACCACCTCGAGAACCAAACCTGCCTACCCCAATGACCAGTAAATCAGCATCAGGTAGGTAGTGTCTTTTCTTGCAGGTTTTGATGAAAAAAATAAATCCTAAACCAAGATATTTTTATTAGGCTGCATTTATTCAACTTAGTTGTATTCTGGGAATCTTACCTGCATTTACAGAAGCTCTCTTTTTCTAAAGTGATAGTGATAACAGATGTTGGTAGTACATTTTAATGTTCTTGCTTGGCAAAAAGAAAAGATGGTATCCCTGTGTCAGTCTGCCAGAATTATTATTTTTTTAATTGTATTGGTCTGCAGAATCCTAAAGACTTATTATCTTGCTAAGCAAACTATGCTCTAGATTTAAAAATAAAGAATTAAAATAGTAGCAGAAGTAGATCTGATTTCCATTCTGGTAATACACGTGGCCACATCCTCTGTATTTCTCTTTCCTCAGCAAAGGGAAGTGTGTATTGTCCATAGAGAGGCCATCAGAATGCTGTGGCAAAGTGGGGATCTATCTGGTCACTTTCTAGACGATTTTAATGATCACCTTTGAAAGTAGAGTTCTTTGTATGAGAGGTTGTTATCTCATGATAATCAGTTGTCCAGAATTTAAATTTCTTCCCGCCTTATTCAAATAAGAAACACCATACCTAGTAAATAAAAAGTAGTGCTGGTAATATCATTCTTAGTTTGGCATTGTCGGCTTGAATGCCCCCATAAAACATATAGTTCAACAAACTAAAGGGATGCACTCACTATTCAAGTGGTGTTTTTTTTTTTCTTAGTTAAAATTAATCATACTATTCAGTTTTTCACTCCCCGAAATGTTCAGTGGATTTAATTATGGCCACTTAGAAAATGCTTACTTTGAACTAGTTGTGTTTTTGTTTTTTTTTCCCCCCAAATATTACAAAGCATGAAGAAGGAAATGAAGATTACTCATTAATTCCTTTTCTAGGATAAAACCTGCTAACATATTAAAAAACACTATAGTTGACCCTCTGGATCCAGTGGTTCCCCCATCCACAGATTCATCCAACCACAGATCAAAAATATTTAGAGCCCTGGCCGGTTTGGCTCAGCGGTTAGAGAGTCGGCCTGCAGTCCAGAGAGACCTGGGTTCGGTTCCCGCTAAGGGCATGTACCTCGGTTGCAGTTTGTCCCCGGCCCTGGTTGGTCGTGCGGGTGGCAGCCACTCGATGTGTTCCTTTCGTGTCGATGTTTCTCTCTCTCTCTCTCTCTCTCTCTCTCTCTCTCTCTCTCTCTCTCTCTCTCCCCCTCTCCCTCCCTCCCTCCCACTCTATCTGAACAGAAAAAATGGAAAAATGTCCTCGGGTGAGGATAAAAAAAAAAAAAAATATTTAGAAAAAAAAAAAAGTCCAAAATTATGTTGTATACTATGAAGTTAAGCCTATGATGGTTGTGTCTGTCCTGAACATGTACAGACTTTTTTTTTTGTCATTATTTCCTTAGCAATATAGTATAAATACTATTTACATAGTTTTTGCATTACACTAGATATTATAACTAATCCAGAGACGAATTAAAGTGTACTGGTGGATGTGCATAGATTATGTGCAAATACTACTCCATTCTACATAGAGAACTAGTGCATCTGTAGATTTTGGTCCTGGAATCAGTCCTCCTCGTATGCTGAGGGAAAAAACCTTCAAACTAAACAGAAAAGCAAAAGGGTAATAAAAGAATCTTAACCCCTAGGGTCTCTCCCCACAGGTAATCTCTTAGAACATTTTGTTCATACCTATAGCAAAATATATCTATCCTTTAATAATTTGACACAGAAGGGATTATATTATGTACACTGTTCTTTACCTTGCTTTTTTTGTAATACTTAAAAACTTTCGCCCTGGCCGGTTTGGTTCAGCGGTTAGAGTGTCCGCCTGCGGTCCACAGAGACCTGGGTTCGGTTCTGCTAAGGGCGTGTACCTCGGCTGCAGTTTTTCCCCGGCCCTGGTTGGTCGTGCGGGGGGGCAGGCACTCGATGTGTCCCTTTCACGTCGATGTTTTTCTCTCTCTCTCTCTCTCTCTCTCTCTCTCTCTCTCTCTCTCTCTCTCTCTTCCTCTCTCTTCCTCTCTCTTCCTCTCTCCCCTCCCACTCTATCTGAACAAAAAATGGAAAAATGTCCTCGGGTGAGGATAAAAAAAACAACTTTCCATATTACCATGTACATTTTTGTCTTCTAATTGCTTCATATAAAATATTCGTTTTATGGGTGATCCACAATTAGTGTAGCCAGTCCCTTTTTGGTAGATATTTGGGTTGATTCCAAATGGTTTCTGACAGTGATGCAGTGGGCATTGTTGTGCATGTCAATTTCATCTACTTTTGTAAGTTTCACTATGGTATAATTTCCTGGCAGTGGAATTAGTGGACCAAAAGTGATAATGCCAAATGCCCTCCATGAAGGTAGAACCCACTTATATTTCTCAGAGTACCTGTTCCTCCCACCTTCACCCCCACTGGATAGTATGGTGTTTGATTTAATGTATGGAGACACATTTCTTGTCTTTATAGTCTGGAGCAAAAGCACACCACCTGCCCCAGATAATGGTACTTCAGCTTGGGGTGAGCCAAATGAAAGCAGTCCTGGGTGGGGCGAAATGGATGACACAGGAGCATCGACCACAGGCTGGGGGAATGCACCTTCCAACGCTCCAAATGCCATGAAACCTAGTAAGTATACAGCATTATTTTTGAGGGATTCTCTGTTAATTTGGGGGTCATGCATTTTGGGGAGGGCTCTTTAGTGTTTAAACTGTTGTTACAATGAGATTAGGGACCTTGAACCTTTATTAAATGATTAGTAGCAAATGGTGATAACTTGAATTGGCATATATTAAAATGTATACAGTGAACTAAAAGTCACAAGTTAATTTTGTTGATTTTTAGGTTGGTTTAGTATCTGGCCATAATTGAAATGCTGCTGTGGTCCTTTTTTTTTTGCCCAATAACTAAAATATTGCTTTTCACATCTCTTTTGCATTTCTACTCTTTTTGTTAGTATAATTTCAGAAGAATGTCCTGCCCTGGCTGGTTTGGCTCAGCGGTTGGAGCATCGGCCTGCGGACCAGAGAGTCCGGGGTTCGGTTCCCACTAGGGGCACGTACCAAAAAAATAAATAAATAAATAAATAAATAAATAAATAAATAAATAAATAAATAAATAGAATATCCTAACTTTCAATGTGGCACATAGTCTCTGCTGCCCAGTGACTTCATCTTTCTGTTCCTTCCTTTTTTCTCTTTGTCTCTCTTCTACGTCCACCCACATAGGAACATCTAAGGTTTCTTGAACCCGACAGAGATTTATTCATTTAAATTTTTTAAACAAAGCACATCATACTTTGAAAATCTAAGCTATTCTTGATCCAGCTGGCAATGTGTAGTCACAATAATTTGCAAAACTTTGTAAACTGGTGCTTTGGAATGTCTCAGTGGATGTTCCTCAGTTGAAAAATTCAAATTCAAATGCCTATTTTCATTTGTTTGTAGTTTTCCTAAAAAGTATCCCAACATCTCTTTTCTACCACATTGCGGACTTAAGGAATTGTCTTTTGATTTAAAAATGTGGTCATACTGAATGCTCAAAATTTGAACAAAAATTAAAAATTTCACTGTCAGGTTTATTGTATGATATCTAGGACTCTTACAGTGCTACATGAAAGGAAGGATTATGATCTTAGGTATAGTCTATATATAACTTGACTGCTTTTTCATTGTTGTTGTTAATCTTCACTGAGGATATTTTTACATTGATTTTTTTAGATAAAGTGGAGGGAGGGAGGGAGAGAGAGAAACATCAATGTGAGAGAGACACATTGATTGGTTGCCTCTCACACGACTCCGACCTAGCCTGGGGATCAAACCTGCAACCCAGGTATTTGCCCTTGACCCGAAATCGAACCTGTGACCCTTCGGTCCTCGGGCTGACTCTTTAACCAACTGCTGAGCCAAACTGGCCAGGGCTTGACTACATTTTAAAAATTACAAATCTCTTCCACTTCATAAAAATAGCCATATAAAGACTTTGATTTTCATTGTAAAATCGGTTGTATTGTCATTGGAACTACCATCCTGTAGATTTGAAATAGATCCAAAAAAGCTGTTGGAAGACATTAAGAGACCCTTGGCACAAATGGGTACTTTAGCAATACTTTCAGGATTTTTATGTCTTTCCAACCTCAGACTCACCTTTCTTTCATCATAAAAACCCACACTTTTCTCCAGATTTTTTTTTTATCCTCACCTGAGGACTTTTTTTTTTTTTTTTTGCATTTATCTTCAGATAGAGCAGGAGAGAGAGAAGGGAGGAAGAAAGAGAGAGAAACATCAATGTGAAAGAGACACATTGACTGGCTGCTTCCCACACGACCCCAACCATGGCCGAGGACAAACCGCAACCAAGGCACGTGCTTTTAGCGGAACCAAACCCAGGACTCTCTAGTCCATGGGCCAATGCTCTAACCGCTGAGCCAAACCGGTCAGGGCGAGATTTAAAAAATCTTTTATGTTTGGTCCAGAGGTATGGATGCATAGAACAGAATAACAGATCTCAGTGAGGAGTGGGGGGCGCGGGATTAACCAAAGAACATACATGCATAACCCATTGACACAGACAATAAATAGCATGGGGAAGGCCTTGGGTGGGGCAGGGGTTGGGTGGAGGGGGGAAAAAAGGGAAAAAATGGGAGACATCTGTAATACTGTCAACAATAAAGTAAAATAAATTTTTAAAAATGTTTTCTATTCAGGATTATCTATAGTCATAGCTATAGTTATAGTTACCCTTTCTCTGGGTAATTTGAATATGTAATACTCAGAGGAAGGAGTTCAGATCATCACAGCCTACCAATTGATGCTGATTGTTAACCTGTTATCTTCTCTAGACTACAAATATCTATGACTAAAAATGAGTTCTCTTTTTTTTTTATCTTTACCATAAGAAGACATTATTGAAAGTTCAGCTCCTCTAAAATTTAAAAAAGGGTTATATGGATGTCTTTATTTTTATAAAAGGGTCAGTATGTTATTTGTATTGGGCTTTTAATTACTGTTGCTTGTCAGAGGATGGCATAGGCCTATGCTTTTGTAATAATGAATAATGTCATATGCAGAAGAAACCATCCTGGTTATCAATGGCATTTTCAGTAGCAGGGACACTAGCTCCCACGCCTTGCCTCTTGCTGTCCATTCAGAAAGCCCTTCATATAAGGCTAGATGAACCCCATGGAGGGTCCATCAAATTCACTTTGGCCATGCAGGGATGGGGGGTGGGTGCCACAGTAGTAAGAAACCAACCCCCTTGTGCCCTATATACTTCATAGGTGCCTTCATGGCTGTCATAGACATGGTCCTAGGGGATGACAACAGTCATTCAAGAGAGCCACTTTTTTGGCTTTAGACTTCTTCATATGCAGCTATCTAAATCAAATAAATACCTCTTTCATAAATGTTCTGTCATTTGGTAAAGTGAAGGTGTGGATGGAGGTTTGTAGGCAAGATAGTGCATTTTCCCTTCTTCCATCATTTAAGAATTTATCCTAGTTTCCAAATTAAAGATCTTTGTTTAGAAGGGAATGTTGGTAGAGTAGACTATGAATACTGACATCCTACTTTCTGGCACATTAGAGCCCTATCACTGACTTTTCTTTTTTACTTTCTTCCTTCCCCATTCTCTAGCTTCCGATTTCCTCCACCTGTCTTTTAAAAACCATTGCTTACACATTGTCTTTGCCTAGGATCTTTTTTAGTGTCTAACACATTTCAAGTATATAAATTAATAAATTTCAAATTTTTGTGGTTATCTGTGAATTTTTCTTTCACATAACATTGATACTTAAAATCTAACAAAATTTCCTTTTTTCTTCCCTTTTTCATGTTCTTTTTTTAACTTCGCCCCAAACAAGTTAAACCTAGACAGGTGTTCTTTATCGTACCTCATATTTGAAATGTCCGTTGTAAATCACACAACATATTTTTAGGACGGTAAAACTAAGGACTACATTAAGAGGAACAGAAGTCTCTTCATTGAAATGTGAAATTTCTTATATGTAGTGATAGATTCTTTTCAATTTTGCAGTGTCTATCAACTTTATATAAGGGGAACATCATTGAACCAGAAGTTAGGAGGTTTTAATTCTGTGGTTTATTAACTTGCTCTGTATCATTGACCCTTTATGGATTTCCATTTCATGCTCTCTAAAATATGAACAATATTCTGCTTGTCATATAGATTTATGAGATAAAATTACTGTGCGTGTTAACAAGGAATAATTTTTGTGGTTATTGTTCTAATAGCTATATTTACAAAAAATGATTATTGTGTGTTTTGTTTTATACATATGCTATATTTACAAGGAATACTGTGTTTACAAGCAATGATTATTATTGTGTATTTATAAGGAATGATTATTGCTGTTATTGTTATAAAGCTAATGCATACAGTTGATTCCTTCTTTTATTAAAGATTCCAAATCTATGCAAGACGGCTGGGGGGAGAGTGATGGGCCTGTGACAGGAACTCGCCATCCCAGCTGGGAAGAGGAGGATGATGGAGGAGTCTGGAACACTGCCAGCTCTCAGGGAAGTGCTTCCTCCCACAACTCAGCAAGCTGGGGACAAGGAGGAAAGAAACAAATGAAGGTAATCTGCTTTAGAAATATTTAAGCTTGTTTATTCATTCTTAGAAGGCAGAACTGAGAATTTTTTTCATGGAAGAAGTAGGGCAGCTGGAGTCCCCGAGGTCCTAAGTAAGAGAGAAAAATATTTTCTTGGGAACAAATAGCTACTTCTTCTTTACCCTTCATTTTCCTTCACCATGACTTTGAAACTGTTGCTATGGGTAAAATGAAATTTTCATATTATAATTATTCTTTGGAAGCTTTCAAGGCATACCTTATAAATGTTTTATGCTTTTGCATTCTAAAGCCAACAAAGTCCTTTGAGTAAATTCCCATGAATATGTATAGAAACCAAAGTAAAGATAGCTTCTCCAGTGGCAATCGGCATAGCTGGTTTTTATCTAGTTCAGGAAATTCCTAGACCCCAGAACCCTTCTCCCAACAAAATGAAGTGCTAGTGCATAACCCTAATGCAGTAACTAGATGATCTATCTACATCCTGTACTAGGTTGTGTTGTAAACCTTTCACTTTCCATATATTAGAATAGCTCAGTTTCTCATTGGATTTGCATAATTTAATCAGGACTTTGGTTTTCAATCTAGAACAATAGTCTTTGAACCTGAACCACTCTCAGCAAGCAGAAGCACTCTTTTTTCACTCCAGTCTTTTTTTTTTTACCCTCAAGCAAGGACATTTTTGTATTTATCTTCAGATAGAGTGGGAGGGAGAGGGGGAGGAAGAGAGAGAGAAACATTGATGTGAGAGAGACACTTCTAGTGGCTGCCACCCACATGACCCTAACCGGGGCCGGGGACAAACTGCAACCGAGGTACGTGCCCTTAGTAGGACCCTAACCCGGGTCTCTCTGGACCACGGGCCGACGCTCTAACCTCTGAGCCAAACTGACCAGGACTTCATTCCAGTCTTTTATTCCACAAATAAATTGATGGTACTAAGAAATGGGCAGCCATACACTTACTTTCAACATGAGAACCTTGCTGCCCTGTGAAACACTTTACAGCTAACATCTTCCCAGGCTTCAAATACCAGATGGTGTCTTAGAATGTCTTCAGTTGGCTAAGGGCTGTGCCTTTACCCCTTTTGCCTACAGGATATTAATTTTGTTCTTCATATAATAACTTTTATCGCATAAGAATACAGGTTGTTGCTATTAGACATTTTGTTTAAGTATCCATTTACAGTATTTCCTGTTTAAGGACTTGTATTTTCTTACTCTGGTCAGAAAAGGAAAACTGATTCAGCATTTTTGTACTCTCATATTGTTGAGTATGCTGTAACTTGAGTATATTGTTATTTACAAATTAACAATGAGACCAAATTTAAAAACATTTCAGAAGACTGCTGATTGAAGGGAAACAACTGAGTGCAAAGTACTAGCCCACTCAGGTAATCACCAAGATTTAACTAAGTTAACAGGAAATTATCCCTGGCCGGTGTGGCTCAGTTGGTTGGGTGTCATCCCGTGCTACTGAAGGGTTACTGGTTTGATTCCCAGTCAGGGGTCAATCTCTGATGGGGGGCATGCCGGAGGCAGCCAATTGATGTTTTGCTCTCACATCCATGTTTCTCTCTCCCCTCCTCCCTCTCAGTAAAAATCAAAAATTCTTTTAAAAAATTAATTAATTAAAAGTTCGTAGCGAATTAAATGTTTTTACTCCATGTGACTAACGATTCTGACTTTTCATATTGAAGGCCTCAAATACAATTAACATAAAATTTACTAAACCTTTTAAGTGTACAGTTCAGTGGCATTAAAATTGCTGCCATCACCACCATCTATCCACAAAACTCTTTATCTTGCAGAACAAACTCTTTGTACCCATTAAACAATAACTACCAATTCTCCCGTCCCTCCATTGAGGGTTTTTTTTTTTTATCTTAAAATATGTAACTGAACTTAAGTACCTTATTGCTTTCAAGAACAATAAAATTGATATGACAACTATCACATCAGAACACAAACAGAACTTTTTAACTGTAGAATGTGCAAGTGTACAAAGCCCCATCACATAACCCCTCCCCCCTATAAGTCCCCATCACTGTTCCACCTGCTTTCTCCATAGAAGTAAAAGTGGAGCTGGTGGTAAGTGTCTTCAGGGGAGAAACTAGCTTGTCCCATTAAGAAACAAACAAAAACCCACGTCGGCCTTATTTTGCAGCAAGATCAGTGATGTCGTCTGCTAGGCTTCTTTCTCATTGGAGACCCATATCTTTTATACTGTGAAGCAAACAGATGAAAAGTACTTCATGGATGAGTTCCTCATTGTATCCACACAGAGAATAATGACCTGTTTAATTAGGCTTCATGCACGAGCATCAAACTTTTGTTTTGTCCTAATACCAACTAGCTTGGGTTACAAGGAGATACTAAAAGGGAACGTGCTAGCATGCAAACAGTATAATTTCGAAAATCTGATATTGACTATATTTTCCCAGTTACTTTTAATTCAGTGTGACAATAAGAATGAAAACATTGATATATCTAAGGCTTATTGCTCTTTTAGACTAATATATAAAATATCAAAATAAACATAGTTAAAGAGGAATAATTAGTGTTCAAAAAGGTGAACTCTTGATTCTACATTTTCAATCAGTACTTTGTAATGCAGATATGAAGTTGAAAAAAAATTCTGGTTCTGAGGTTATATATTTCATTTCTGTAGTGTGCAGTAAAAGGAGGAAACAGTGATTCATGGATGAATCCTCTTGCCAAACAGTTTTCAAATATGGGATTGCTGGTAAGTTTTATTTTTTCCTGTGTGTAGTGTATCCTGACTTTTAATTTTAGTACAAATTTTAGACCACTGCCACATATAGTACAAAATTACAGATTTAGAAACTGGTTAAACAATGTTCCTGATTTGGGTTAAATTTGTTTGGATTAGATTTGTTCTCTGTTCTTTTAATGAAGTACTCCAATATTTAAAGGTTATGTGTTTTTAAAACGTGTAGTCCTTTTCTTTAGGCAGCTTGGAAGAAACATGGCCAGCACTTAAAATTTATATAGTTTTTCTGACTACTGTACCAGTTTTAATATCATTTTTAAAAAGACAACAACAGCAAAATAACTAGAGAATTGCCCTGGTCATTATGGTTCAATGAATAGAACATCAGACTGAGAGGTCTGGGGGTTGGTTCCTGGTCAAGGGCACGTACCTGGGTTGCAGGTTCGATCCTTGGCCCTCGTGTGGGAGGCAACCAATCAATGTGTGTCTGTCGCTCTACCCCACTTTCCCCTTCTCCCTCCATCCCTCTCCCCCTTTCTCTCTCTCCCCCTCTTGCTCTCTTCCTCCCCCCCTTCTCCCCACTTCCACTTTCTCTAAAAATCAGTCGGGGGAAAATAATCTTGGGTAAGAATGAACAACAACAAATAAATAATAAATAATTTGTGATTAATTATATAGGGAATTCTTATAGAATTTCTAATTTTTTAATGTCTTGGGAACATGGGGACACCCTGTTCCTGGTTGCCAAAAGACAAGTGACTTTGACTTGGCTGCACACTTTAAGATTTGATGACTTGACAAGTCATGAGAAGAAGTTGTCATCATTTGGCTGCCACTCATGAAATTTGATCCTAAGCTGACTGGAACTTGAGGACAGGGGTTTATTTCTACAAGCAGCTGTTTAGCTATTGCTCTGTCTGTACATTTACTGAAGCTGGTTTTATGTGAAAATTGAATTTAGGAATATAAGCACCAGCAGCACTCAAATTAGTCATATTAAAAGTGTTATTGTTTTTATTCCAAGTGTTATTGTCCTTGAATTAATGCCTTTCTTCTCTGATTCAAACATTTAATTCAAACCTTTAATTTTCCCTCACTGTTCTTTATTTTTCAGAGTCAAACTGAAGATAATCCAAGCAGCAAAATGGATTTGTCTGTAGGTGTGTATCACTCCACTAGTACGAATGGGATATTGTTAACAACATCCTTTTGGGATCACCTGCTCAGTTTGAGTTGGGATGGGTGCAATACATATTGAGCCCTTACTCTGTGGAAGGTACCGTGCCAGACACTTAGGTAGGGTTTGAAGACTCAAATGACTGCAAGGGCCAAGAAAGTAATGTAAATGAGTGGTGTGTGCCAAGTAAAAGAAATCAGGACTTGGAGGCCACTGGTTAGCTGTGGAAAATGTGTGTACCACCTAAAGGAATCAGCCTTGCTTGGCTCTTAATAGTTGTTGCCATGGAAGAGCTCAGGCTCAGCTTTGCCAGATCTTCTGGTTTTTGAAGAAAGGCCAGAAGAAATTCAGATGTATATTGATATCCTGATTTTTAAATATTGGAAACTAATTCAGGTTTTTTAAAATGCTGTGTGTGGCCAAACAAAATATGTCTGTGGCCCCGCCAGACTGAGCCTCAGGTTGCCAGTCCAGTCTGCCCTGGGATGTTTCATTATTGATAAACTCTCCCATTACAAGTGGGGCAGATACAGGGTCAGCCCTTTGTCTGTGGGATCTTCAAAAGGATGCTCTTGCTCACCCTGAGGAACTTAAAAAAAAATCAAACCAAGAAGAAAATAAAACAGTCCTGGGTAGTAAGGACACACATAGTCTTTGATCTGTGATATTTTATGTATGAGAATAACTAGGAAATACGCTTCCCGGGCCACTGATTGTGTCAGTGTACAGTAGCAAGTTTATAGAGCTGTGAAGGAATAGTGGAAATAATCATTGCACCTGCAAAATTACATTGCACAAGTAATATGGCACACTATCTCCTGCATTCAAGCTCTAAATTTTAGAGGCAACAGTTATGTCTCTTTGATCTTTTTATTCCTAATAACTGTATTTCATAACCCCAAACATTTATCTCTCACAGATGCTATAATAGCAACAAGAGACACATTCTCTTACTGAGGACATTTGAATTTATGAGCAAGATGTACTCATCAAGCATATCAATAACCAGTCTAAATATTTTTTTAAGTCAGAGTTTTACCAAGTTAACCCTAAGATTCTCTTTCAGTCTTCCATAGAAAACAAACTACAACGGATACATGTTGGGCTTTTGTTTTGTATTGTTTTGTTTTAATTAAGCAAAAAGAACTCAACATATGTTCCAAGGAGGATCAGCAGCAGCCAGAACCTTTGAGAGTTCTTCTGGTCTTATATATCCAGCACCCCAGGGAGGAGAGTGGGGCAGGTCACTCTTGGTCATGAGGGAGACAATAATTCTTGAAATTTTTACTCCTTCTGTGGTACCTTTCAGGGAGCCTTACAGATAAAAAATTTGATGTGGACAAGCGAGCAATGAATCTCGGGGATTTTAATGATATCATGAGGAAGGATCGATCTGGGTTCCGTCCACCTAATTCCAAAGACATGGGAACCACAGATAGTGGGCCTTATTTTGAGAAGGTGAGTTGAATCCTTTATTTAAGATAATCAATGAGAACCACTTTGGTTTCTTTTTGTCTTTTGATAATTAATTCCAGGAGGAAGCATAGAATTACTGAACTAAATTAATGAACAAAACAGAAACATCACCTGATTTAAATGGTGATATGAAAACAATTGATGTCAACAGGTGATTAGGCAGGAGCTAGAACCATCTGTCTTTAGGATATGGATATGACCACTGTGAAGAAGGTCTAAGTTTTGGAAAATTTTATGAAGTTTGAAGGGGAGACATTGTCTGACTTTACATAGTGAGGGAACTGAAATGCAACTCAACCTGCAGAAGAAATTTTAGAGACAAATTTATTTTTAATTATTTTTTCTGCTACTTTTAGTGCAGTTGCAAATTAAATTTTGAGATCTTATGCAAATACTCTGCCTCCTAAGGCCTTGCCTTCTAGCTGTCAAGGGAACCCAAAACTTTCTCCTTTGCTGTTTCTAAGATAGTCCTTTTTCTTTTCTTTTCTTTTCTTTTTTTTTTATCTTTCTTCATTTCTCTAGTGATCTCTTTAGTTACAGTGGTATAATTTAAAATTCTCAGCTACCTGATTTAAACAAGTCATGTATACCCATTTCTTTTGATTTTTAACATTTCTAATGGGAGATTATTCCTTGATTCTGAATACCAACTTGCAGTGTTCATGGTCTTCAGAAAGAAGTTAAAACCAAAATTTTTAGATCTGGCACATGTTTGACACTATTGATGTTGGGCCAGACAGCAACATATTCACAAGAAGATTACTTTGGTTTTTATTTCAGCAGCTGCAAAGAGTAATCAGTATTACATGCATAAAAATAAAATGTCTGGCAATTTTTGTCTTCGTGCAAAAGAACAGAATGTGTTACTAAGTTAGAGGATAAGAAAAATCTATATCAAAGAGGATGACAGATGGTGTCTGTTGGGCAAAGTGTGATGATTATTATCAGATCCAAATTCTGTCCTGGTTTATTGCTAATACACTCTAACATTGTTTGTTCCTAGTGTTTTCTCTCTTTGCCCTTCTTGCATTCTGTTGCTTCACTAACCAACACTCATTGTGATTGGCTAACTACTACTTTTCAGCTGACTTTGCCTTTCTCCAATCAAGATGGGTGCCTTGGGGATGAGGCTCCCTGCTCTCCCTTCTCCCCTTCTCCCAGCTACAAGCTGTCTCCCTCTGGTTCCACACTACCCAACGTCAGCCTTGGAGCAATCGGCACAGGGCTCAACCCCCAAAACTTCGCTGCTAGACAAGTAAGGAGGCCTCTCAAATTTATAACTACTTGGATGTGGCCTCGCCTTGGCCCTGGTCTGCAGTTTATTGCATTATTTGTCTGTCTTGGGAAATTTGTTGATTACTGAATGCACAGAATGATATTAAGTATAGGCTTTAGCTCTTTCAGCCCATAGAACCCATCTCTTTTTATGTTTCTCAACATAGATTTTATTTTAAATCTGTTTCTTTTGTCTTCTCATTTTTGGTCCTAAGTTCACATTTGGGGATGAGGCTCCCCTGTTCTCTAGTTAACTAAGAACTGCCTAAGGAAAATGTTAAAGAGGCTACATAGGTACCTTTTATCATCTAATTCAGCAACATCTGTGCCATTTTTAACATTAGGTAAAATGTCAAGTACTAATACCTTTGAGGTCTTTTCAGTTTAATGAAACCTGCTAATTAATTGGAAAATAGCAACAAAACTAGTAAGAGTAAGTATCTGAAGGTTACAGCATCTTAAAATTTAGTGTCTTTAACTGAAATATGTTAATTGCCCAGAGAAAGTTAACTTTCTTTATTAGATAACTAAGCTTTGAGAATGCTGCTCAGACATGGCAGTGTTTTCTACAGCCTGGAGCAGCCCCATTCCTAGGGTCAGACCTCCGAGGAAGGGCCATGCCATAGCAAGACTGACAGAGCTTGGCATGGTGATGCCCACTCGCTTTCACAGGACTGGCAAGATACAGCAGGCCTCTTGTCTGTTGTCCGCAGGAGCTCTGTTGTAGTTTTTGTGGAGAAAACCAAGAATTTGGAGATAATTCCTTTGTGACAGTGACTTCAACAATAATATTTTCCTAGTCATCGTTCTGTGACCATGCACTTGTCACTGTGACTTTCACCTCAGGATGTCAGGGAAGGACATTGAACTTCTAATTGCATTCATTTTGTTTCCACATGATAACTTTCACACATTATAAATGATATAAAACATCTCTTAGCACCATAGTCCTCGGGATGCATATAGATTTTTGTATGCTTTTTAATTGTTTTAAAAAAATGGATTATATTATATCCATGTGTTCAGATTGGTTATTTCTGGATTGGGAGTTATAGGTAATTTTATTTTTCTTTATATTTCATTCTTTCTCTTAATGTTTCTGTAGAGGACATGGACATGTATTACTTAGATAAACTTAGAAGAAACAATTACATGAGTGGTTTGTTTTTTTTTGGTGGGGGGCTCTTTTATTTTGGGTCGAGATATAGAAAATATAATGTAGTCAGAACACTCTTGGTTAATGGTAATTATAAACATGATTCCAGGATCACAAGATTATCAAATGTTGTTAGACATAAACTTTAGTGCAACAGGCCCAAACTACCTGTGCACTGGATTCTAAGAAAAGGTCATTCCTCCTTGTCTTTTTGATCTGGGAATGCTACAAAGTCCATCATAAACCAGGTTGATACACGTATTCTATCCAAATGTAATCATGGTTTTTTCACAGTGTTTTTTTATTCAGATTTAAAATTTAAATCACAGAAGATTTCAATCAGCTTGGTAACTTTAATTTATGTACCTTTCTATGTTAAACACTAGAGTTGTGGCAAATTTTACCAATAATTATTAGGACTCTGGTTGTCATAAAAGCCTCATATATAACAGTAGAGCTTTAGAAATAGCCAGATAAACCACCATTAACGTGTACAATCTTTTGATGACCATTTTCCTAATTTCTAAATTTAGTTTTTTTTTTAAAAGACTTGACCTGGCCCTGGCTGGTTCGGCTCAGTAGTTAGAGCATCAGCCCACAGACTGAAGGGTCGCAGGTTTGATTCCTGGTCAGGGGTACATACCTGGGTTGCAGGTTTAATCCTTGGCCTTGGTTGAGGTCCTGCGGGAGGCAATCTCTCTCACATAGATGTTTTTCTCTCTCTCTCCCTCCTTCCTTTCCACTCTATCTAAAAAACCTGTGGAAAAATATCCTCAGGCAGAGGACGGGGCAGGTGGGGGGAAGATTGGGAGGAGGTTGTCAGTGGGGAAAAAAGGAAAAACATCTGTAACAAAAATAAATTAATAAAGATAATTAAAAAAAGAGCCCTGGCCGGTTTGGCTCGGCGGTTGGAGCGTCGGCTTGCAATCCAGAGAGACCCCGGTTCAGTTCCCACTAAGGGCACGTACCTCGGTTGCAGTTTGTCCCTAGCCCTGGTTGGGTCATGTGGGTGGCAGCCACTCGATGTCTCTCTCTCACATCGATGTTTCTCTCTTTCTTCCTCCCTCTCTCCCTCCCATTCTATCTGAAGTTAAATTCAAAAATGTCATTCACGTCAATGTTTCTCTCTCTCTCTCTCTCTCTCTCCCTCTCTGTCTCTCTCTCTTCCCCTCCCCCTTTCTCTCCCTCCCACTCTATCTGAACAAAAAACGAAAAAATGTCCTTGGGTAAGGATTAAAAAGAAAGAAAGAAAGACAAATATCCTCGGGTAAGGATTAACAACGACAAAAAAAAGACTACCTGTATGATTGCCACTAAATCCATTGCTGGGCTACTTCTGAGCCAAGAAAATGACCAGCTTCTAAAGCCAAGGTTCCATATAAAAAAAACACAGAAGAGAAAAAATAGAGAAGATATTTTTTGATAGAATACTGTTGACTTCTCTAAAATAGTAACCACATCAGATATGTCTGAGTGCTTGGTATGGCTTTAGAGACCATTGATAATGAAAACTTAAAATCTTTGGTGGAAGTGGGGTAGAATCTCTCTACTGGGAATAGGAAAGTAGGGCTTGATTTTACAAAGACTAAAAACAGCAAGTTTCTTTTAATACTTCTTACCAAAAGAGAGATTGAAATTTAAAATGACCCTCACTAAGAAGTTTTGGACTTGTCAAAGCATGGAATATGGCAAGGATTTGAGCAGTGAGAAACCCCATCATTTAAGGACCAGTCCATGAATAATTAACATTTAATAACAAGATTATTAATTTGATAGTAAAGTGTGAGAACAATCGTGGCAAAATATTCTGCATATTACACCTTAGACCACTGAGCCATCCTGACTTTGCAGAATATTCTTAGCAAAATATGTGTTTCCTATTTTCCTGGGAATGATTAGTAGCTAAGCTACTGACTACCATGATCACCTTAGGGTGACAGTTTTATTAGTAAGACAGGAAAAGCAGAGATATTTGAGTTTTTAAAATTAAAGGTCCTTTCATGTTTAAACAGCCCTTTGGGAGATTGAAAATTCATGGTGGATCTTTGAGTTTCTTTTGAGATATACACAAATATTTTTATTGCCATTTCTACTTTTATATTCATAATCATTTTTATTTCAATGCTTTTAAGTTTATTGATTTCCCTGTAACAGTTCCTTAATCTACTTTTGAAGCATTAAGCCATCAAAATGTCTTTAATGTTCTAGAACTTAATGGTGCCGTTACAAAATTCTTTAAAATATCTTATCCTCATGATTCCAGAGTTAAGGTGGGAGTGGTGCCTTCAGTTAGTTGTACACATGCTTGGTATAAGCAATGGTGTAGCTGTCTTCACTGACAATGTTCCGAGATGTTGTCAAGTATATGAAATTGATGGGTTGTGGATGTTTGCAAATGATGGGCTCATCCTACAGACCAGGGTTTTATTGAGCTCTAAGAATACAAAGAAGGAAGTACTAAGCTGGTCTGGTGGTGGAAAGACTGAATGGACAATAACTAAAATATGATTTGATGATGGATGTTATCAGAGAGTTTTAAAGTGTTTTGAGAACATAGAGGTGGGCTTAGTTAACTTGAATGTGAAATGAGGAAGATTTTGAAGAAAACTTTCTTGATGAGGATGAGTCCTAAGCTGAGCCTTGATGATGCCAAGTGAAGTTGTAGAAAACTACCTCAGTTAGAGGGAACAGTGTCAAGTATCATATATGGTGTCTTTGCTGAAGGACTTTTCTCAGAAAGGAAGGTTCATATAGCCCTGCTTTCTTTGTAGCTCTTTGGAATAGTCTAAAAAGTACTCCAGTGAGTTTGTCCTCCAGAAACCAGGGAGTTATTTGTTTGTTTTGAACTAGACTAATAGCCCTGGCCAGTTTGGCTCAGCGGTTGGAGCATTGGCCTGCGGACCAGAGAGTCCCGGGTTTGGTTGCCGTTAGGGGCATATACAAAAAAAATTAAAAAGAGTAAACTAGACAAATAGTCATACATCTGAATGAGAAGTTACAAGTGAGTAATGTTTGTTTTGTTGTCCTTGTAATGATTTTTCTTTTTTTCCCATTCTTTTAAGCTTGGTCTGTGATTGATTCAGATTTCCTTATCTAGCAAATAATGGACAAAGCAGACCCAAGATAGGGAAGGGTCTTCAGATCTGGAGTAGGGTTCTCATAGAGCTAGGCTCATAATTGGGTGGCGCTGATTTATTTTATAATTGAACTAACTGATGCGGAGAACTAGTATCATGTTGTTTTGCAATGATATTATTCATAAGCCTGCATTTTTACCCAGATGCCTTTCAAGTTGTATCTCAGATTGTAAGACTTGAGAATAAATTTGGTAAATCCAGTTTTAAAGAAAGTTGAACTAAATCTTTTATGGCCCATACTTTTCAATTACAAAAAAAAAAAAAAAGAAAGAAAGAATGCCTTCTCTAACATTTGACTAAATTTAGCCTTTTGGTTTATAGAGTTAATCAGACTACAAAGGTGTCATGATATTCCCATGATTGAATTCGAGTAATATTCCAGAGCATTCCAAAATCAGGAACTTTTCAGGTATAAAATTCTGTGATTCCATGAAACACAAGATAAGATTCTTCTGAGGGACGGAAAACCTAAACAGTTTCTTATTTGCATGTTCTTATATTAACAGAAAGCCTTACTGTTACATTATGTTTTCAGGGTGGCAATCATGGTTTGTTTGGAAATAGCACAGCACAATCGAGAGGTATGCACACACCAGTGCAGCCATTAAATTCTTCTCCTAGTCTCCGGGCGCAAGTGCCTCCCCAGTTTATTTCCCCCCAGGTAAGCAATTGTGTGTTTCCACTATTCAAAAGTTAATCCCATTCAGGTGGTTACCAGTTAACTAATTGGTTTCGTGAGAATAAAAGGAATGATAGTAGTTTTAAATTTGAAAAATTCAAATGCCAAGGATGTCAAGATATTTAAAACAAAATATCAAATCTTACTCTTTTATTGTATTGTGTATACAAAGTAGATGTTCTTGCATAAAAAACATTATGGTTATATTCCTTTTACACTTATATATTTTTCTAATATTGTATTGGCTTTTTTAATTGCATATGTTTAAAACTACTTTATAAATTCTGTTGTGCCAGCATTCAGTTATGTCAGCATTCAAAAGTTGGTTGCCCTCCAGGATTCACCCACAGATGAACCAGAGAATTGTCAGGTTCTGGTTATTCTGAAAATTTTTAAGGAGCTGTTTGCTAAAATACAGATTAGGTGCTCTGGGGGGAGTTTTAAAACTAAAGTAGTTGCAGGGACTTACTCATGGAGCAGCTCTGTAAGACACAGTCTTTGGGAACCTTTTAGGTCCACTTCTTAGTAGGAGATATGGAATAAATTTGGGGGGTATAGATGAGAGATTTGTGCCAATCTACCACATACCGTTTCTCATACTTCTTTGTCAGAAAATGAGTCCAGGAGCAAGTAAAAGCTGATAAGCTTGTGTAAAGATTGTGTGACCTTAGTCTCCCTACAATGTTATTTTAATGAACTAAGTAAGAGCAAGAGCTTTGAGTTCCATCCTATAAAAAGGGGTGGGGCACTTATTAGATCCAGCCAACAGGTTGTAAAGGGTCAGGTTTATTTCGTTTTTTGAAATGTCTTTTAACACAGAAGCTTAAAATAATTACTTGAAACCATACTTTATAGATTTCAAATTCTGTTTTTGACATTGAATCCACATCTGTCTTAGTAAAGGGAGAAATGTTCATTGTGTGTCCCCCAACTCCCATCTTCATGGTCCTGTCTAGGATTCCTCTTAGTGTCTTTCTTCCCCGTCACACTCTCTAAGTTTTAGTTATACTTCAAGTCCCAGGTTGTGGTATGTCCTCCAGACATACCTGTTCCTGACTTTCTTAGTACTTACAGTGACAGCATCTTAACTCTTGGAGCACTTTCCGGTATGCCTTAGTATCAAATCAGCAGTCGTCCATGCTTACTGAATGTCTGCAGTGTGCCAGGTAGTGTGTTGACAATGCACAGATGAAGAAAATGCCATTTCTTCTTTCACTGCCTCCTTGGAGTTGGTAGCAGTGATAGAAGAAGAGTCAGCAAATTGTGTAATAAATGTTGTATAGAAATGCTTAACAGAGTCTGGGGAGCTGGGCATGGCCTCACTCTATCAGTGACAGGTAAGCTGGGTCTTGAGCATGAGTCAGAGTTTGCTGGGCACAGCCAGATTAAAGGTGTCTTCTAGGCAGCAGGAGCAGCTTGTGCAAGAGGCAGTAATATCTGGAAGAAGACGGCACGTTCGGGGAAATGCATTTAATTTTTTTAAATTATTTTATTTATTTTTGTTACAGATGTTTCTCCTTTTTCCCCCACTGATTCCCGCCTCCCCCTCCCTCCCTGCCCTGTCCCCAGCTTTGTTGTCCAGGTCCATTGTTCATGCATATATGTATATAAGTTCTGTCGTTTATCTCTCCCCCACCACCCCCTCTTCTGGGGATTCAGTCTGTACCCCACTTCCACATCTCTGGGACTACCCTGTTCCTCAGACTGTTATGTTCATTATATTCCACAAATAAGTGAGATCATGTGATATTTGTCTTTTCTGCTTGGCTTGTTTTGCTTAGGATAATACTTTCCAGGTCCCTCCATGTTGTCTCAAAGGAGATCTTTCTTTCTTACAGCTGCATAGTACTCCATTGTGTATATGTACCACAGCTTTTTTATCCATTTGTCTACTGATGGACATTTGGGCTGTTTCCAGATCTTAGCTATTGTAAATAGTGCTACTGTGAACATGGGGGTACATATATTCTTTCTGATTGGTTTTTCAAGCTTCTTAGGTATATTCCTAGAAGTGGGATTACTGGGTCAAATGGCAGTTCAATTTTTAAATTTTTTTTGAGGTAACACCATATTGTTTTTCCATAGTGGCTGTACCAATCTGTGGGAAATGCATTTAATTTGAACAATTAGTTTGAAGCATATAGATGCTGTCTAGAGTGGAATAGGAATAAACTAGTCAGGAAGTTTGGGACTAATTTGGAAAAGGTTTGTTTGCCTTGCTAAGGAGTTTGGACTTTGTCCTTTGGTCTGCATGGTTTATAACCATTATTTGAGCTATTACTTAAAAATAATTGAGTTCCAAGGTCTCCCCCAGTATATTGAGATAGAACCTTGGGTCTATTAATCCTCAGATGATTTTGATGTGTACCCTAAAGTGTGGCTGCTACTGCTGTATCATTGGGCAAGATTTTTTAACTGAGTGGCATTGTAGGAAAATTTATGTTTTACAAAGATAACACTAACAGTAATATAAAGGCCATGTTTGAATGACAGAATAACTGGAGCAAAGGAGTTCGGTCATGAGGCTAGTACAGGAGTCTAGGAGTTCAGTGACAGTGGGAATTAAGACCTTGTGAAAGTCACCAGTGATCTTTGTGTTGTGGAATACAAAGGTCTATTCTCCAGTTTTTTCTTACTCTGTGTATCAGTAGCATTTGACACAGTCAGTCACCCTTCTTTTTTGAACCATTGAATTATTTTTTATTTCTTATTTATCTCTTTTCTTATTTTCCAGTACAAATAATAAATGACAAGTAAACATTTAGTCTCTGTCCAGTCATAATAAAAATTGCCTTTATTTTGCATTACCATTTTTGCTCACTCTTTAACAGGGATCGTATTTTGTATCCTAAATTTAATACAATGGCCCTGATGTACCTCACCAGACATTAGGCATGAAATAGGTAGGTAACAATCACTGGAGATACTTTTCTCTGGGGAATATTCAATGGTATTAAGGGAAAAAAAACATAGCAGTTTGTATTAGGGACTCAACAAAGTATATACTCTAGCAAAAAGGTCCTTATGAAGTCTTTTTTTTTTTAACCCTCACCTAAGAATACTTTTCCATTTATCTTCAGACAGAGTAGGCAGGAGAGAGAGAGAGAGAAAGAAAGAAAGAAAAACATCGATGCAAGAGAGACACATCAATTGGTTGCTTCCTGCACAACCCCAACCAGGGCCGGGAACAAACTGCAACCGAGGTAAGTTCCCTTAGCGGGAACCGAACCTAGGTCTCTCTGGTCCGCAGGCCAACACTCTAACTGCTGAGCCAAACCAACCAGGGCAGAACTGATTTTTTTTTTTTTTTTTTCCTTATCCTTAATTGATTTCAGAGAGGGAGGAAGTGAGAGGAAGAGAGAAACATTGATGAGACTGGCCGCTGCCTGCATGTCCCCACTGGGGATCAGGCCCACAACCAGGGAATGTGCCCTGATCAGGAATCGAACTGGTGACCTCTTGGTACATAGATTGATGCTCAGTCACTGAGCCACACCGCTGGGCCGTACTGAATTTTTAATTTTAATTAATTTAAATAGCCACAACTAGTTAGTGGCTATGATGTGGACAATACAGATATAGAACATTTTTATTAATGTAGAAAGTTAAGGTAAATCAAGTTATTTGGGAATCGTCTTGTGACTCTCTCTCTCATTCTCACTCTCACTGAGAACACAGAGCCAAGTCTTTTTTTTTTTTCTTTATTGATTTTAGAGAGAGAGGAAGGGAGAAGGAGAGAAAGAAACATTGATGACAGAGAACATCAACTGGCTGCCTCCTGCATGCCCCCCAGTGGGGATTTGGCCCACGACCTGAGCATGTGCCCTGACTGGCAATCGAACCGGCAACCTCTTGGTGCATGGGTCGATGCTCAACCAGAGCCACACCAGCCAGGCACAAAGCCAACTCTTAACTGGGGTCTTTGAAGCTCTTGGTGATATCCCTACCCCCCACTCTCCTATTTGTTTAGTCCTCTCCTGCCAACTGGCCCCAGTGCACTGAGCATGCTCCTGGCTTGCTTTTCTCCCAAATTGCTACATGACTTCATCTTTATTTCCTTTGAATCTCCGCTTCAGTGTCCCCTTATCAGAGAGGTTTTCCCAGGCCAGACTATGTACAGTACACCACCACCACCACCATTACTCGCCTCCCACCCATCACAACCCTCCTCCGAGCATACATTTTGAGCTCAGTAAATTTATGTCAAGTCATGGGAAGATGTATTTCTGAATGATTTAGAAAATTGAATTGCTGGGAAAGCACAATTAACTTAGTCTAAGAAATGTAAGGGCTTCACATATTGTTATGACCAAAGTATCTGTTCTACTTGGAAAAGAAAAGTACTTGTGTTCTATAATTTTTAAATTTGTTTATTTAGAAAAATGGGGTTAACATTTATATAATGCATAATGAGGACAGAATATTCTTTTTTTCCTGACATTTTTACATTTTAAAAACAAAGCAATTGGGTAAATATAGATGTATAGATTTTTTCAAAAACGTAATAACTATATAATAGCCACACTGAAAGTTTGGATATAGAGAAAAAAATTCTTCCAGAAACCCCTACCCACCCACCCAGCTATAGTGATAGAGATTATTTATACACAATCTCCTTTTCAGACTTTGTTGTTAGAAGTAATGCTATAGAGAAATCCTTATACATAGAACTTTGCCCACATTATTTCTAAATTTAGTTGCCCAGAATGAAATTCCTGGGTCAAAGCACATAAACATTTAAATTTTTTAATAAATATTTTAAAATTTACATCCATGTTGACTATTTAATAGGGGCAGTCAATATTTAATGTAAATGTAGAAAGAAGACATCAAAACTAATCTTTAAGATTTGTTACTACAGCCGTGGCCGGTTTGGCTCAGCAGTTAGAGTGTTGGCCTGCAGATCAAAGAGTCCCGGGTTCGATTCCAACCAAGGGCATGTACCTCGATTTTGGTTCATCCCCGGCCCCAGTTGGGATGGT